AGGACAAAGGAATGTTACATTACACATCTAGCCCATTTTCTGCATTCCAAAACGGAATTGCAGAGAGAAAGAACTCAACATTACAAACCATGATTAGATGCACATTGGAAGATGCTGGCTTAAGCAAACAATTCTGGTCAGAAGCCCTACAGTATTCCAATTACACACAAAATAGAACTTGGTCCAGCATTGTAAATAAGACACCATATGAAGTGATGTATAATAGGAAACCAAAATTAGCACACATGCACATATTTGGAGTCACTGCAGACGTACACATACCAAAACAATTAAGAAGAAAAGGAGAAAATGTGTCTAGAAGACTTAGATTTATGGGATATGAGACAGGTACAAAAGGATACAGATTCATTGATAATAATAACAAATTTATAGTTTCCAGAACAGCTGTGTTCCATGAACAGGCCAACTGGTCTAAAATACATCTTAATGAAATATTCCCAAGCAACAACACAGATACAAAACCCCAAGAAAAAAGAACTATAGAAAAGCAAAATGACAACAAACATAGAAACAAAACCAAAACATGGAGAAACAGTCAACACAAAATAAAGACAGATACATTAACAAAAAAGGAAGCAAGATATTTGCATGATAATAATAGTAAACCTGAAAAAACAATTAGAAACACCAGAAATCAAATGCCAAATAAGTACAAGGATTACATAATGCATATGAACGGAGAATCAACGACACCTAATACATATGAGGAAGTGTTAAAACTTCCTCCTAAAGAAAAAGAAAAATGGGAATTAGCAATGACAAAAGAGATGGAAAGTTTACAAGGATTAGATGTATTTACACCTGCAATTGCACCAAAGGACAAAATTATTGGCACTAGGTGGATATATAAAATTAAAAATTTAGAGGGAGGCAATACTCTATACAAGGCTAGATTAGTTGCACAAGGTTATGCACAGAAATATCCCGAGGATTATACTGACACATACTCCCCCACAGTAAGAACTGAGAGTGTCAAAACAGCTCTAGTTGTAGCATCAGCACTCAATCTCGATGTATTCCAATATGACATACAGACTGCATATTTACACGCAAAATTAGATAAGGAAATATATGTAAGAGCACCTCACAGTCAATACACAAACAAGAATGAGACTTGGTTATTAAACAAAAGTTTATACGGGTTAAAACAATCTGGTAAACGATGGTATGATTGTTTAGTAAAAGTACTTAAAACTATGGATTTCAATGCTACTACTGCTGATAACTGTTTCTTTGTTAAAAAGGGTGATGATTACATAGAATTTGTATTGATCTATGTGGATGACATTTTGTACATAGGTAAACATAAAGAAAGAAGAGAAACATTTGTAACAAAGCTAAATGAACATTTTTCACTGAAATCTTTAGGCAAAGTAAATAAGTATCTTGGTGTTCAAATTAGTAAAACTAGAAGGGGATTCAAGCTTTCCCAGAGAGATAAGATCATAGAACTCTTGAACAAATGTAATCTAAGCGATGCCAAACCCTGTGACACTCCTATGCAGACTGACTTTCTAAGGAATGCAGATGAATCATCCTCTGAGTTCAAAGATAACACATTCTATAGATCAATCATAGGCTCCCTTCTTTACATTTCCAATTGGACCAGACCTGATATCGCTTTACCCCTCAATTTGTTGTCCAGACATGTCAGCAAACCAACAATGTACCATTGGGAAGCTGTCAAAAGGATATTAAGATATTTAAAGAATACCTTAGATTTTTGTTTGATATTAGAGCCTAATAATGTCAAGGAGCCAAACCTCACATGTTACGCAGATGCAGATTGGGCTGGAGACACTTCATGCAGAAAAAGTACATCTGGTTATATATTCCTCCTTAACGGTTGCCCAGTTTACTGGTACACTGGCAAACAAGATTTAGTGGCCACTTCAACAACAGAAGCAAAATATGTTTGTCTATCTAAAGCAGCAAATAACCTTGTACGGTTTAATGACTTAATTTCTGACATTTGGAAAAAACCTGCCTTGCCTTTTGTCATGCATGAGGATAATAAAGCGGCTATCGAAATATCTAGATCTGACGCCATTGGACAAAGGTCCAGACATATAGATATAAAATTTAAACATGTGAGACAGTTATCTCAGGATGGATTTATTAAAGCGGTGCATTGTGAGACATCAGAACAATTAGCTGACATATTAACAAAACCTTTGCCATCTAAGCAACATAAATACCTGACTTCTAAGTTATATGTTTTGTATTGTTCTGAATCTGAATGTAATTGTTGTAGCATGTCGAATCGGCATTTAGAGGGGGATTTGTCACAAGTAAATGCCTTATTCTCCAATATGTAAATAGTATATGAACGGGATATCAGGGGTTAATTTATTCTTCACTTCTTAATGTATTCATACTTCACCACTCCCATATCTAGCTCCACCCATTGTATATATAAGGAGCTGCACGCACTCATTCCTTGCTTCTATCTGTGAATATTCAGTGAATATAGAATGCCTTGTGTAAATAAAGAGAGATATATTTGAACTATTAATTCTTAAATGATTTATTGAGTCTGATCCTGAAAACATTGCAACAGCTTGAATACACCCAATGTGCATTTAAAATAAAATCAAGAGGAGATTTAGTATCAGAAGGATATAAATAACAATGTTTTTCATTTCTCAGAAAAATTTAAACTTGATTTTAAAAATTAATCATTAAAAATGTTAAAACACATTGAGTTACATATAAGTGATAAACATCTTATTGCTAAAATGTACAAAGTTTTGTCAAAAGTAAAAACAGAATACCAACAAGTTAAAGACTGTATGATAAAATGGACTAAACATTTCATATTCACATCATTTGTATAATATACAAATACAGCAGTGAGAGTATATGTAGACAAAGGGGTTGAAATTTACATTGAGCTACAATCTTAAAAGAGAACTTTTATAAAAAGATGTATAGATGATTGTCAAAATTTCAGATATAAACACCAAGAAGATACTTTTTAGCACTTTTAGTGGACTTATAAAAAAGCTAAAAATTGTTAGACTGAAATACATATGTTAACTTTTATTAAGGTTGACAGACAAAAATTTGGAAAAATTGCATGTTACTTTATTCTTTTATATGATAACAGCAGAAATAATGTAAATATAAGTATGTAGATGTAAGATTGAATAAGAATAGAGAATATATATCCATGTCGATACAGTAAGCTGTAAAATAATATATGATGTAATGTTATGTTTGTTATGTGTTTTTAATGTATTTTTGCTTTTTGTTGTATTTTTCTTTACTTTGTTTTTAAAACTTAAAAACTTAATAAAAATTATTTTTTTTTAAAAAAAGAGGCATCACTGCACCAGAAAAGTTAATCCACTGCTATACCGGAAATGAGCCAGCTCATAACCCAACATAAGTACAACTCTACAATTTTCACTAACATAGGATTATTTTTCTCCAAACAAATGTGCAAGATAGTGCAATTCATATCATTACTTAGTTTGCTGCAAATTTTACAAAGGTAGTGTTTTAATGAATATATAGATCATATTGATGATCTATTAATCTAGGGCTTTTAAAATCAGGGTTGAAGACATTTTTGTGTATCAATAGAATTCCTAACTAAAAAAAGATTTCAGGGCACAGAAAGAAATTCCTGTATTTTTAGACCATACCATGACTGGGAGCAGCAATGATTCCCAATTTCCTGCTGGCTTCCCCATTGTCTCAATGTAGTGGTCTCAATGAACCACTATGCCTTCTTGCAACTTTTGAAAAGGGCAACAAGATCAGAACAGCAGCAAGGGAATAGACAATATGGATTAGACCAGAGGTGTCAAACACAAGGCCCGTGGGCCAGATCCAGCCAGCGATGTGGTCATATCTGGCCCGCAGGGTTGTCCTGGAAAATGTAAGGGCCGGCCCGTGTTGTTTCAGCCCAGTCTACCCACATTGCTTCAGCTTGATCTACCCGTGCTCCTTCAGCCTGATCTACCCAATGTGAAGAGGAAACATCGGGCCAGTGTGGCTTCAGCCCGGTCTACCCAATGTGAAGAGGAAACATGCCAACAGTTTGGGGAATGGTATCAAGATGGCCCCACCTACCCAGTTGGCCCCACCCACACAGTCGACCACACCCACATAGTCGGCCATGGCTGGCTGGCCACCCGAGATCAATCACAGCCCTGATGCGGCCCTCAATGAAATTGAGTTTGACACCCCTGGATTACACTTTTTAGCTTTGGAGAGATAAAGTAGAGAAAATATCATACTTTCTCCCTTCTGCGGAGATTGCAGAAACATTGTTCTAAAATAAGTAACAAATATAGAGCACAGTAAATCAATAATTGACAACTACATTAGACAGTATTTCTAATTCATTTTAGAAACAGATCCAGGGAGTAGCTTTTTGGAAAAATCTTCAAAAATAAGCTAATAATATGCTTACTTTAACATTCATTCTGTGCCAATTTAGTTTTTTGTCAGCTCAGTTGGAAGGCTGCAGTATTTTCAGACTGTCTATCACAAGTTAAGTGAACCCACCCACAATTCCACTGTATGAAGAAGAATAATTTAGGTGATATCACCATTATTTTTCCTTTTGCTTAGATAAGGAAAAAACTGCAGTACAGCTTTCTATAAATCATAATTGAAGAAAAAGAGAAATTCTAAGGCCAATAATTGATTCTATTGTGATGCATTTACAATAACTGCAATGAAGAAATATAAATGGATTACTAGAAATTTTGCTGTGATTATTAATAGTAGAGTCTGAGAAAAAGAACAAACAAGTCTTTTAATAGATAAGATCTGCATGGGTGGTATTCATCACACTTGGAAGGAGAAAAAGGTCATTGTCTCATAGGAGGCACACAGTTGAAATATCCATCATAGCATGCAGCTCATGTGCTATAAACAATACCATTGTTTTTTTATTGTGCCTCTATTAACTAAAGTTATATTCCAATCAACTAATTGCATAGTTTTTTCAATTGTATTCTTACCTGCCTGGCAACCCTTCGGGCTTCCCAGTAAGGCTTTGAATCTTCTACAGATTTTCCAATCTTCTTCACAAGTTCATCTAGTTTTATTGTAGCTTCCACCAGAATTGAACGGAATTTCTGACGTGCGTCCTACAAAGAAAAACACAGCAAATCTGCTAATACATATTCTTCACCGATCACTAGCAACTAAGTCAATTTAGGTAAAACTAGGGTTAGTTACTTAGCAGAACAATATTTGTGTAGCTCAATTTCAAACTTAATAAAAATCAATGAAAACTTGAGATAGTGTTAAACTTCATGTATTACACTTCCCAATTTTACTAAATTTCTAACTCTTTCTGACACAACCTGATCCAAAAAAAGAAAGACTTTTTAAAAGATGTGAATTTTTGTTCGAATAATCAAGTAATCTTCATTGAGCTTAATCTAAATAAAAAGCAATATTGTACAACATCTGCTCTGTCCTGGGCCTCAACTCTTATTGCAGTATTGAGACCAACATAAGTATACAACTTTTTATATTTTCAGGGAGAAAATCCTTTGGCTCTTCAGAAACATTAATCCCTTTCCACATTCCTTAATAGGTTACTTTTTCCAAATGACTATCTACTAGTTAAAGGAAGGGGGGAACCTTATTTAATTTCATGCCAATATCCAATCAATAGCTTCGCTGAACAAAATTAGTGTATTTTCAATCTCTTTTCTTCAATTACCCCTCCTCGTTTTGTGTATTACTTCTTTTTTTTCAACTATCTAAAGTAGGAACAAGTGATTATTCTTCAATTAGCCTACATGACCTAATTAATTGCTTTGTTTTGCTATACAATATAATGCTATTCTTAAATCTAAAACCTGGAGATGGAAAACTCAAGATGGATATTATTCACACCTCCAACAGGCTAGAAGATTTCTGAGCAGATTAATTTATCCACTGACATTTGGAAAAGCACCCAGATAGTTAATCTTTACTTTCAGTGCATATATTACTGGCAATACTAAGATAAAAAGCATGAACCCTCCTAAACGGAAGGACAACTCTGTGGTTCTGTAAGGTTCTGTAAGTCTGTAAGTAGTTGTTAAATGAGATATGCCCAATTTTATGCCTTTTTCCCCGACAGTTGCTAAGCAAATCATGTGATCATTAAGCAAATCCAGCTTCCTCCCCTTGACTCTGCTTGTCAAAAACTGACTGGGAAAGTTGCAAATGGTAATCACATGACCCCAGGACACTGCAATTTCATAAATACAAGCCAATTGCCAAGTACCCAAATGTTGCTCACATGTCTATAGTAGAACAGGTTGTAAGTTATTTTGCAGTGTCATTGTCACTAAACTAATAGTTGTAAAATGAGGACTACCTGCATAAGCTTCAATGTATCCAAAGCTGATCAAATGATTTTGACATCTGAAGCAAATAAATACCTGTCCTTAGAAACAGAAACAAAATAGGAAATTGAAAAATTGCTAGTCTTTCACTTTCCAGAAACAATCATCCCATTCTAGGACTGAAAGAAATGTAATGCCACCAATGTTATAAATTTCCAACAGATGGTAGTACTGATACAGTAGAACAGGGATCCTCAAACTACAGCCTGCGAGCTGGATATGGCCCACTGAAGCCAACCCACACAGCACCACGAGGCTGCCCCGCCCAAATCACCCCACCACCGCCGGCCCCGCCCTTTGGCCGAGCACAGGCCTTACTTTCCAGGCAGCTGCAGTGAGCAAAGCAGTGAGCAAAGCAGTGTGAGCCCAGTGGGCTGCAACTGGAAGGTAAGGCCAATGGCAGAGGAGGGAAATCTGCACTGGACCTGCCGTGCTAGGCTGAAGGGCCACCTTGGGAGGGTAGGGCTGTGGACGGTGAGCCTCAGCTGCCTTTTGGGCCTGCCTCTTGGCTTCTGTGGGGCCTCCAGGCACCTGCCACACACTCACCCTCCTTCTACCTTGGGCTCCACATCAGGCTCACAACCAGGGGATGCGTCGCCCATGCAGTGCTCTTCCGAGGACTGCCTGCTTGCCCATCCACTGGCTGGACTAGTATGGAAACAGCGTGTCACCTTGCGCCTGTCTTTGGCCTCCTCTCACCTGGCCGCTGGCTTGATGTGAGCAAAGGCTGCTGGTTGGAGTGAGGGAAACCTCAGTGCTGGGCTCCTGCAGCTGCAGTGCCAAAGCATAGCTAGAATTGGAAGAAAAGGCCACACAGCTGTGGCGAAAAGAACCGGACCAACACCTGGCAGCTCGGATGAGAAGGTGCAAGCAAGGCAGCACCTGCTGTTGCTGTAACTGAGCCCACCACATCAATTTGCACCTTACTCCAATCATATTGTATTATAATCTTTATTTCTTTAATCAATAGTTTAATATATTATTTTTATGCCAGTCACCATATTATTTAAGTGTACTTAGTAATATCATCATTCAAATTCTGAATTCCCCTCTTTCTGTTACTTCTCCTTATTATATAAAAATGTGTATTTTATTAATCCCCCTCTCTCTAGTTTCCATCCCTAATCTAACTTTGATTATGCCATTACTGTATTTAAACATATTCCCATTTTAACCATCATCTCTTACCCACTTTAAAGCTTTAATTGTTCATTTCTTAGCTTGCCTCCCATATTCCTCTCTTGGATCTTTGTTTCTGTCTGCTTTTACCTCTTGACTATTCATTTTACACATTTCTCCCTTTTCTGTCCTTCTCCATTGTCTAGTTTCCAAAGCATCTACTCTTGCCCCTATCTCTCTCCCATAAGGATCTTCCTGGTTCTCCAGTTCCTTTTTTAATTCCTTTAGAATACTCCCCCCTTGGCTTGTGCCATTAATCCTTATTATTTTTGTTATTATCTCCTCCTTATCATCTTGTTTCATTTGTTTAGTCTGTTACATTTTTTCATCTACTCTTTCAGTTAGTTCTTTCTCTTTCTGGGCGTCTTGATCACTCATCATCCTTTGTTTTATATTTCCCAGCATTCCATCCATGCTCTCTATTTGATTCATTATTTCCTTATAATGCCTTGTCAGTGTCTCCCTTGTACTTTGGATTACCGATGCCATCTCTTCCCAAACCCACTCCTTTCTCCTTGATGAAGCATCTCGTCAAATTTTATTGTGTCCTTCTTTTGTCCAATAATCCAAAGACTATATATTCAAACCTATAGTGACTTTAAAAGAATTCAATATTCTTAGTTCTTTATCCCAAAATTAATCAGCCTGTTCCTCTGGATACTCCCATAAGTTTTCCAGAACCTCCTTAGGTCCCTCTATAAATTCAGTCTTGTATTGTAGTCTTCAGGGATCATTTTAATCATATTATCATATTTAAGTCCCAATAATCAAATAGTTCCAAAATTTTGGGAGTATGTTGTTCTTCCTTTCGGCAGCAGGTGACACTCTTAGCTTGGATTTTCAATATTAACCAGTTTTTCATGTTCCCACAATGTAAAAATAACACTGATTTTTAAGTAAATAATTCCAGCATTTCAAAATGCCTATCCATCCAAGAGAAAAAACATTGAAATTCAAGGAAAAGGAAGTGGTAGTCTTGAAACAAATACCAAGGAAAGTGAGAGGTGTGAGAAAAGAGTATAAATTTCTGACCAAGATACTAATTCAAAAGGGTGTTAATTTTAGATGGCTGATACCAGAAGGATTGATCTTAACATGGCAGCTTCAAAGATACAGGCTAGATACAATTGATAAAGTGAGAACTTTTTATGAAGATTTTTTAAAGGAAAAGGAAGTGGCAATGGAAACAGAAACACAAGCTGCACTGATGTCGACAAAACCTACAGAAGAAGAAATGGTAATGATTGGATCAACGGAGGGCGCTGTTGGCGGGACTGTGGAATTCAAAGAACAACGGGAAGTAAGATCAACTAGAGCAATAAAATCTACATATAAAATATGAATATGGATGCAACGAAATTAATTTCAATAAATATAAATGGACTTAATTCGGCTGTGAAAAGAAGAAAGGTTTTTCATAAATTAGAGAAGCTAAATTTTAATATAATTTGTTTGCAAGAAGTTCACATTAAAAAGCAACATGAACAATTATTGGCACAAACTAAACTTGGAAAAAATTTTTCATCATTATCGCAAAACATGTTCTATACATTAAAAATTCAATAAAAGCAGAACAAATATATGCAGATTCAGAGGGTAGAGTGTTGATAGTGGAAATAATTGATAATAATATGAAGATAGAGGACTTCCGGCGGCGATCTCAGCGCGTTAGGGACGAAAGGGGCGAAGCTCCGCTCCTGAGTCCCTAACAATCCCGCATCTGGAGCTGAAACAGGCGCTATTGATCTCGCAGTGATCAATAGTTTAAAGGGGAACATCTTAGGACCTCGGAGGAGATCGCAACTTCTCCGAAGGTACAAGATAAAGCCCTTAATCCAGAGTGAGGAAAAACCAGCCTTACGGGACTGGCCGGAGGCGCTGATAACTGTATAAGAGGGAAGCGAAGATTGAAAACTAAAAGAGGTCATCAACAGAACACCATTATCTAGAAAAACCCAAAAAACTACCTGATAGTAAGAAGCAGCGCTGGTGAAAGAGAAACCCGAAAAAAGAAAGAGGATAAGAGGCGACGGAAGATAGATCGGAATGGAGCCATTTTGAAAGCAAAGTGACAGTGCAAAAATCTGAACAGCTGAGTGTACAGTGAGAGCGGAAGAGTGGAAGAAGGTAATTCCTATGAATACTGCGACGAGAATAGTGAATAATTTAAAAAGACTTGGATATTATTATTAGATCTTATAAGTGTGGACTGGATTGAGTGGAGAGAATTGGATAAAAAACAAAACAAGAACGGACCATGCAGCATCGGAGTGAGTGGAGAGAGTGTGTGCAGCGTGGAGTGCCGGAGATCGGAGGAGAGGAGAGGAACTTGGACGGACCTTTACAAACTGATCGTATTGGATTTTACTGACACGGAGTTGCCAGAGTGGATTGAACTAGATAATTCGAGAAAGAAATAGCTTGTGGGAGAGTACGGAGAGAGTTGGGACAAACTCCGGTAAAATTGACTGGAGTGGACTTATACAAACTATCTTTTAGTGATACTTCTTGTGAAGATTAGGATACAAAACTGATACAAAGTGTGAGAGACTTTGACTATTTGA